CTTGTAATTGATCCCCTCTTAGATTAATAATAGATTTTAAAAATAATCGTTAATTGCAGCCTTATGTCAGAACAATCATCTCAAAGAAAAAGATGCTATTGTTAGCATTTTCCACCCTGAGGTCTCTTCGCTAACTCTGAATAAAACACGTGCTCCCATTCTAACAGAAATCTGACTCCAACATACCCAATAAACATGCACTCAAAAGATTACAGTCAGCTCCCCAACACACATGCACACACCAGGCTGCAGTACCTCTCCTGACCCCCTCATTCCCAGTGGAAGCACCCCAAGATCAGCAGCACGGCTGCGGGGTGGCGTGTGGCCCAGGCCGGTGTGACGACCTCGCTCTGACAGAGTGTCAATACAAAGCAATTTACAAGCGCATGAAAAATCGACCCTCGATAACAGGCAATTTCTCTGCTCCACTGCCTCAAGAGGCGTGACCCGCCTTGCGAAAGTGAGGGACATGGGGGGGTCAAACAGGAGGAAGAAGAGGAGACGGGTGATCATGGTCCAGTGGATGTGATTACAGCCTATACTGTGCTTTAAAGGGGAGCAACAGAGGGAACAGGGTGCAAGGGAACTGGGGCTGGCGATTGTAATAGTGATGTGAGGAGTTGAGAAATCACTGTGATGAGTATGATGGTTGGCTTCCACTTGTAGGAAAGAGGAAAAATTGAAACAGGAATGGGTGAAGGAGACGGACGTTACATTAACCATGCAGGACTGACGAGGAAGCACAGAAGGACAATCAGTGTAGAGATGGAGGCTGAGTTAGGATGAAGTAGACTTGGAGAAAGAAAGAAAAGTGGGCATGGGGGTGGGGGGCAGCGTTGTTGTTATAGCTGATGTGAAATGTGGATTGTGTGTATGTTTGTGTGGGGACTGGAGGCCACAGGTGAGGACAAAGATAATGACCTCATTCCTCTTCTCTTTTGCCGAGACACTTCTTTCCACACCACTCTATTCATCAAGCCCTCTATCTGTCTCTCCATCCCACGTTTCCCTGTTCCTTCTAATTCTCCCTCCTCTTTGTTGAAAACCCAGAGGTCACACCTTCATCCGAGCAGAAACGAACACACACACACAAAAAAGACATGTAGCAGTATGTTTCTGTGAGAAGTGTGTGGGGGGACAGGCTGCATGGAGGCAGATGACACGGACTTAAATAGAAAAGAAATTTCTTAAAACAGCACTTCATCACGAGTTCACCTGTTGGGATCAAAAGCTGTCTCAGTCTCATTCAGCGTGAAGAGAGGTCATGTAAAATTAACCAGTGTCAGCCTAAATAAAGGTTCTGGACTAACAAAGATGACTTTTTAAGGTTTATTTTTCTTCAGAAGAGTACCTGTTGTCAAATTAATTTAGTTTCTTTGTCATGCTCTTCTTTAAACTGAAAGAAATAAATTTAGAACCTAGATAAAGTGCATGCGCATATATACAGTGTGTGTGTGTGTGTGTGTGTGTGTGTGTGTGTGTGTGTGTGTGTGAGATGTCACACCAATCAGTACAATTTATTCTTTTAAAGCCAGCATTTCCCTTCAACCCATAAAGTAATAAACTATTTCTGGACACCCTTTCCTTCATCAGATTGGTTTTTTCAGGGCGTGTGTGTAATTCATAATTAATCCATAATCAGTACTTTACAAATACTGAAGTGCCTTTTGTCCAGCTTGGTTAAAGTGTGGGTTTATGGTTAGCTTTTTTTATGCAGTAAATGAAATTTAAAAAATGTGAGCAAGGAAGCAAAGAAAGTAGATCCCTTAACACGACTTCTTTTAGTCATAACAGTTCCTGTTGTCCTGTTCTTGATGGCAACTACAAAATAGGCCATACTCTAGTTGAGGTCTAAATTTCAGTTTCAACTATTCACAAATTACTAAAAACTCCACATAACCCAAAATACAGAGCAGAGGACCTTGGTGTCCACAAAGGTAGATACAGCCCTGGTGTTATGCCCATGACTGTGACAGTTTGTAGGTTGTTACTTATATAAAATAAATAATATAAACGTAAATATTTTAATGCTCTTGCACGTAAGGGCAGCTCACGGCACTCTGGAAATTGTGTGTATTTGTAAGTTTTGTTGAATTTGATTTTCAGAACATTTCCCTAAACTGGTGTAAAATTTCTTGTCCCATAGTGACACTGTGACCTCCTGGACACTGCTATTCAATAAAAGTGTAGCTAATTTTTGTTTTGTTACATCTCCAAAACTGACAATTACAACCTCCAGGACATTTGAAAAACTATACTTGTAGCAGTGTATAAATATTAAAAATAACCTGAAATTTTAATGATACTGTTAGTTCTAAGTCTCAGAGAGAAAAACTGGCCAACAGGCCAGAAATCTCTGTGTCATCTTGGAACCAGAACTAAACCTTCGAGCTTATGCGGAGTCACCAACCTGCTTTTTATCAACTCAAAAATAAATCTAAAGTGTGACTATTTCTCTCCCAGGGTGACATAGACAGACTGATACACACTTTTACCGTATACCCAGCCGGTTGGACTGCTGTAATGCTCCTCAGTCTGGTAAATCCAAACCAGGAGCAAAGCAATTTAAAATTCTTTTACTAGTTTTCAAGCACTGTAGGGTCTTGCACCAGCCTCCCACTGAACCAGTACAACTTCTGAGGTCCTCTGACACGTGAAGGCTTTTGTTCCAAAATGCAGGACCAAAACTTTTGGTGAGGCACTTCTTAGTTTTTTTTGCTCTGAGCCGCTGGAACGGTCTGCTAGACCTTATGTTTTTAAATGTAAATGTATAACCTACCTCTTTAGACTGGTCTTTGATTAGAATACTTTACATCAATTATTTAGTTTGTTCATTTATTTTATTGTATTCAGATCTTACAACGAATTCTCTTATAAATGCTAATTTTATCTTATTTTCATCTTAATTTTTTTTTTTTCACATTTACTTGCATTTCACCTTTTGTTAAAATTTGTCATGTGCACTAGTCTCAAACAGTAGTTTTATCTGTTCACATTTATTCTTATCAGCTTGTCTCAGTTGTCTGTAAAGCACTTAGAATTGTAGTAACCTGTACAAAAATGAGCAAAACATTTGATTCACTCGTCAATTAAAATTCAGTATTTTATCATCGTTTTTGTCTTTCATAACCACATCAGCTCAGAGAGTCATTTGTATAGGGGAAACGAATCAGTGGATATAAAGGCTGTAGCAGTAGCTTATGTGTTACTCCATTTCAGACAGAAGTGAAATGCTCGAGATGGGGCTGTGGCAGTTCAGTTATCTTAAACAGCGGATGAATCAGTGCAGGTTTCAATTTGTTTTTTTTAATATTACTGTAATTTTAATATACTGTACTGTAATTTAGCCTATGCATGTTTTTCTCTCCCCCTCGGTTTATGCTGGTGTTGTCATCTGTCTAAAAGTTTGCATCACAAGACATTTTACTTCTTACCCTAAAGAAACCTTCCCTCGCTTGCCTCATCGAAGAACTGATACAGTGTTAGCATGGCTCAGAGGTTAGCACTGTTACCTCAAAGCATCATGGTCCTTCTGTGTTGCCCCTGATTCTTTCTATATGAATCTCAATGGTGGTGTAGCTTTTCTGCAAGTTTGAAGACCAATCATGTCATATACTTTGTCCTGTCATGGACTGGATACCTAATCCATAATTCTACCTGTAAAGCATGACTAGCACAAACTAAGTACAAAATAATAAACTGAACATGTAATTAATTTTAAAAACAAAGCTACAGTAAAAGGTATGAGCATAGCATTTCTAACTCAGTACTGTTTTGACACACCATGCCACTGTGAAAAAGAGACCATTGTCTCACTCCAGCAGCAGCCACTGGTAGATCCAGCAATGAAGAAATAATCATCAACAGCTCTCCACAGTTAGAATCGATAGCTGAAGCCTTTGCACTCTAAGGATCTATGACCGTACAGCACAGGAGAGAGTGAGGGTTTATACACCTGCTGCTATAGTGCAGAAATGTAACCACAGTAAATGACATCAAGCAAGTAGTACTTCGCTATAGCCTACACCCAAAGGCTGTATGTTCTCAATTTAGACAAAACTATATTCATGTAAAAAAAAGAAATGAATACAGAAAGTGTTAGAATTAAAATGGCACAGTTCACAATAAAGCAAACAGATTGTTATTCTGCAAATATAATACATTGTATTTTATTATATCTGTTGCCTGCTGAATGTACAGCACATTAGGCCTATGTTATATGTAGAGTGGAGTTTTAGTTCCAGTGATGTATTACTAACATCACATAGCGTCATTAAGTTAGAATGACTGAATAAAAAGCTTGTTGTTTTTCAGTCTAACATTATATCAGAAATCAAATCATTTGTTACAATAATCATCAGTGGTAACCTACAAAAACTGGGTACCACCCAACGTGTTAACGATATTTCGTTTTACAGTCAGTGTTGTGGTGAGGATCCTTTTGTCATGACAACAATTAAATAAAAGTAATCTTTGCAAACAAAATTAAAGACAAACGGACAATTAATAGATTTTTGTTTAAACGCACTGCTGACTCGAGCACAACTATCTACAACAACAACACGCAGTCCCGGGTCTGACCCGCACCTGGGAGCCCTAAAGTGCAAATCAACAATAAAACTCTTATAAACGGCTGTGTGCGTAAAGGTGCATGGATTATATAGGCTACACCCGACATTCTCACAATGTGTCCTGGACTTTGCAAGATACAAAACCCAGACTATTAGGATACAAATAAACTGAAAAACAATGACGACAACAATAACAAGGTAAAGATACTGACACCGCGGCGGGTGCAGTAAACAATGTTATTCATTTCGACAGCAGAATGAGGCATCACAAGGCCTCCAACACAGAGATGGGGCCTACAGACAACATCAACTCCAGCTCCAGCCCAAAACACACATTACAGCATAAACTGCTCGGTTTTATACAGGCGTAGCGCGCACAACTTTACGCTGCGCATCACCGGACTGCAGGTAACAATCAGTCGTACTCACCAGTTCGAATCACTGGACACCAAGACGTTCTGCTAACCAGTCCAGTCCAGTCCAGTCAACCTCTCGGCCTTTCCTCCGCTACTCAAAGTTCAAAGTTCTTCAAACGTTCGCGCTGCGTGTGCGCTCTGTAATCACAGCTGTGATGGGGACTACGAAAACCACACAGGCCTGACGCACACTGCGAAGTCACTGCCGAAGAATCCATCACTTACATTTGACTCTACCCAGCATGCACCTGTTGGTCACCAAACTTTATTTGCGTTTGATTTACTTCCCTTGGCTTTAAATCAGTGATTAATTAGTGTAGGCGCCACCTTTTTATACCCGGGTAATGCTAAACATAACCACAAACATATAAGTGACAACATATTTTGTGCTAGTCATAAAATACCAAGACAAGTCCAGGCTTGATGTACCTGTGTACATGGAGACAGTGTTGATGATACTGATGTTGGATAATCCAGTGTTCAGCTGAGTACTGAGTAACATTTCGATCCTGCAGATACAGTCAACCACACTGTTTGATTCGTTTCTCAGATGGTTTATTCTGACTACTTTGCATGACTTTTGACTGTATTCTGTTAAAGATGTGACTATAAATGTAAGGCAATAGCCTACTGGAAATAAGTGATATTTAAGTACAAGTGAAAATTCAGATTTGTAAATTGTAACTTATCACTTTCACCCATTGGAGGGGAAAAATAGCATTCAGGGACAAAATCAATCTTCACTCCCTGTGAAAATTAGACAAGAAATACAAAGAAAGCAGCTGGGACATGCTGTCAGTAGGAGGTTCAGAATTACTGTAGTTGAAGTCTTCACACAGGTGTTCACAAAAGAAACGGTTTTGCATTAATAATGTTCAAGGTTTTAGTGTGCTGCTGCTCCCACACTGAAGCTTGAACAGGAACGTTTTCAAGGCCTTTGTAAAACTAATTACAGGATAGCAGTAGTTTCTCCTTAAAGTTTTACTTAGGATAAGGTCAGTGACTTTCTATGTTTCTGTTATTTTCCACAAATCCCATACAAAGTCTAAAATCAACAATGAATTTCGTTAATTCCCTGTAATGTCAGCGTATCCTGTCCCTGGTTTAGTTTATTCCTCTGTGCCATAGACTTCCACTGTTGTCCAAAAACGATTAAAAACACACCAATAAGCCACACTGCTGCACTGGGTGACATGTTTCTTTCTTATGAAATATGTGGGATATTCATGCTGTCATGTGTAGTGGGAGAAACTAGTAGAGGGGCGCAAGCAGAGCAGAGACTATGTGCATGTGCAGTCGACTCTTTCCTACTTTAGGGACTTTACAAAGTAATGGGACTATGTATCCCATTCATTTTGTGAGAAAGAAACATGTCACCCAGTCCAGTGATGCAGCTCACTGGTGTATATTTAATAGTTTTTGGACAACAGATGGATAAGCTAAATCAGGGTCTGAATTCACAGGCATTACAGTGAGTAAATGAAATTTGTTGTTGGCTTTAGTCTCTGTAAATAAATAAATTAGTGAATGCATTTTATGATATGTACTCAAGAGCACAGATAGCACCAATAAAAAGTGAGCATGAACATTAGTCTACAGCTCTGTAAAAACAGCCAGGTATTGGAAGGACAGCTGTATTTACTGAGGAGAACAAGACTGTTGTGTTATTGCAGAGCAGAGTGACATGAGCCCTGTGTGTGTGTCAGCCATTACCATATATCATGGCACCTGCTGTAGCAACTGAATGCTTAGAGCAGGGGTGTCAAACTCATTTCACCAAGTGCCACATTAGCATAATGTTTGCCCTCAAAGGGCCAGATTAACAGTATAAATGTAACTAAATGTAATGTCATTTAAAATAAATTAAACTACTCCTCATCATATTGTCAAATAACTGTTTCTGTATTAATTACTTATTCAAGTTACAAATATTACGTATGCATTTGCATAGATGTAGAAATAAGTGTTCAGTTTAAGAAACTCACGTTACTCCATCAATCAACAATCAAACTATTCAAGTAATTTAGGAAAATATCAAAAACAAGTTATGATAGTAACTTTATTCAAAACTTTTTTGTCACAGTCAAGGGGGGCAGATCACTGTATCTGTAAGGCATGCTGATATAGATTCTATTGAGATTGATTATGATCAATTATATACCTGTGACTATAGTCTAAGTTCCTACTTGTGTCAACTCTCCTTAAATTAACCTTCATAAAATAAACAACTGTACATGTCCTTGATGTAAACAAAGCAAAATAAGTTTCCAAACCACAAAAGTAGTCCCTATAATATAAATGAGTGATATTTAACAAGTAAAAACATTAATACTGTAGTTTGATGCCAACCCGATGGTGTACTGTGGTGTTTTGTTTGCGTTTTATGTCTGGTCAGTAATTATATTTGTAATACAAAGATGAATTATTATTTTATTCAGCATTCTCAGACGTTTGGTCTTGACCATATAAAGAGTTTATGTAACTGTGATCATGATGATCACTTGATCAAACAAATGGCAATGAAGGGGACAGACCCCAGTGGTAGGCAAGAATAGTAGAGAAATAAACTGTATACTTTTTAACAGCAAAACAAGAATTATTCAAAGCGGTTAAGGTGAAAATGGAGTCTGAGTTCAGGGAAAGGGAAAGTTATGTTTTCACTTAACCTGCTTTAACCTGCAGGTTTTAAAATGGTTTTGAATGTTACTACGGTGGCCTGTTAGCTTACAGCACATTTGACTGACAGATTGCGATTTTGAATGTAAATGTAGACCCCAAAACTGTAGAACCAACAGACAAACAGCTCCCAAGAACAAGAACATGAACTGCGAAGCCCTTCATGAGGAAATCAGGAGGCTCCAGGGGATGCTGAGCAGGGGCAGAGAGAGTGTTAACTACGAACAGAACTGGAGGATCCAACTTAGCCAAGAGCTAAGTGAGACAAAGGAACAGCTGGCTTACCAGAAAGCCAAGACTGAATCCTTTATCAACAAGGAGAAAGAAACTAGAAAGGAGCTTGAGAGGCTGAGGCAGTACAGTGACTCAGAAGCTCTCAGCGCCTCAAACATTGCCTCTCAGGTGGGCAATGACATCAGGAGGAAGAAGAAGAAAGATCTTCAGAGAGATTACGAGGAGCTGAAAGTGGCATATTATAAGCCCCCCAGAGATGTGTGCTCTCCAGTTGGATGTTTTCACTCTACACCAAAGACTGTATCTCGAAGGACCCCTCTCTCAAGCTCCTACACTTTGCTGATGATACAACGGTCATTGGTCTCATCCGAGATGGCGACGAGTCAGCCTACAGACGGGAGGTTGAGCAGCTGGTCCTGTGGTGTAGCTGCAACAACCGGGAGCTGAACACACTCAGAACAGTGGAGATGACAGTGGACTTCAGGAAGAGATTATACAGATCAGTACAAGTCTCTATTTTTAAGTACTCTGTTTTATTCCTATTTATCTCATTTCACAATGAGCATTCCTTGTCTGTCTGCATTGTTTACTGCCTTTTTATACTGCTTATTTTGTTATACTAGCCTTATGTTGGTTTACTGTTTACTTGCCCCTTGCATGGGGATATGCACATGCACATTGAATTACCAGAGTCAAATTCCTTGTGTGTCTGACCCATCTGGCCAATAAAGCAATCTTCTGCATCTTTCATACTTGAAAATCTCAGTTATTTTCAGGATATCCAGATATGTTTCACAACAGCAGAGTACTACAACTTGCCAGCAACTGGAGATGGGCATCATGGCAGGATGCACAATCTCACTGTTATTGTTTAGGATATTGGACTAGTGCTATTGACTGTTTGGTAACAGTTAGCTTGAATTAACTCAAGAAGATGAAGGGTTGTGTTGGGTGTGTGAGTGCAGGCAAAAAGGGGCCTGGTTCTGAAGTGACGCTGAAGCTCTCAGTGCCTCAAACATTGCCACTCAGGTGGGCAATGACATCAAGAGAAAGAAGAAGAAAGAGATTCAGAGAGATTATGAGGAGCTGAAAGTGGCATACGCCATATGCCAGGACAGGTTTACGATTGAGCTCAATACGGAGAGGAACAAGATCAGCGCTCTTCAAGAAGAACTGGAGAAGCTCAGAGCTTCACACCATGAGCTGAAAAATGAAAAGGATACCCTCGCTCTCAAGCAGCAGGTGGAAAGTCTTCACAGTGAGCATGAGACAGAAAACAAGTCTCACGGTGACACTGTGGAGCATGACCTCCAGCTGATCAACGCCCTGAAGGCGGAGAAAGATGCTCTAAAGGTGGAGAAAGACACCCTTCAGAGACCAAAAAGCTCACTCATGCAGAAAGGGTGGTGCAAGATCTCCAGTTGATCGACACCCTGAAGGCGGAGAAAGACACCCTTCAGCATGAGCTAGAGACTGAAAAGCTTGCTCATGCTGACAGGATGGAAAAAGATCTCCAGCTGATCGCGGCCTTGAGGACGGACAAAGACGCCCTTCAGCGTGAGCTAGAGACTGAAAAGCTGGCTCATGCGGACAGGGTGGAGCAAGATCTCAAGCAGATCAAGACTTTAAGGACTGAGAAAGACAGCCTTAGTCAAAAGATGGCAGAGGAGATGATGAAAGAAACTGATCGCAAGGTCATGCTCTATGAGGGAATGCTGGAGACACTGGGAACCGTGCTTGACATGCAGGTCTTACTCAATAAGCAGCTCTTAGTTAAGCCCAATGCTGAGGAAGTCACCAGCTGTGAAGAGCATGATGACACTGATGAACAGCATGAGGATGGACAATGTGAGGACCAGGAGTCTCTCCCTGGTGCCTTTCAGGATGAACTGGCAAAGAATGCTGTGGTTTTTGGTAAAGAAAGCAAATTAATCAAAGCAGCACAGTGGTGCAGTGGTTAGCACTGTTGCCTCACAGCCCCAGCCAACCCGGGGTCTTTCTGTGTGGAGTCTGCATGTTCTCCCTGTGTCTGCATGGGTTTTCTCCGTGTCCTCCGGTTTCTTCCAAACTCCAAAGACATGCAGCTTAGGTTGATTGGTGACTCTAAATTGGCCCCAAGTGTGAGTGAGTGTGAGTGTTTGTATATACCCTATTCAGAAATAATTTTTTATATTATTATATTAAATTATATTATTATTAATATATTATATACCATATATACAATGTTTTATTTATTTTTATAGTTATTGGAAAAATGATTATATAAATAATGAATGGATGGATGGATGAATGAAAACAAATCAATTCGGCCAGACCCATTACTGAATTACATGACAGGACTGTCAGACACATATACTGACAGATCCGATGTAATTTAGTAACACCCAAATTAAAAACCTCTCCTGGAATCGCAACCTTAACGTGGTGGAGAGGTTTGTGTGTCCCAATGATCCTGGGAGCTGTGTTGTCTGGGGCATTAGCCCCTGATAGGGTCTCCCATGGCAAATTGGTCTCAGGGGAGGGACCAGACGAAGAGCGATTCAAAAAAATATATTTTATTACTTCTTTTTGAAAATAAAAATCTTTAAAGTATAAGTGCAAAACATTTGTAACAATTCTTTTGTCCGTTCAGTTTATATCAAAGCCTGCACTGGCGACACCCTCCAGGAAGGAGCCACGTTCTCACACTTTAAGTACGACACAAAGACTCTCACCTTTTGTTTTGGTTTGTTTTTTATTTACAGTCGACACAACGTTGTCTTTACCTACTAGCATACAGTAACTACAGCAGTGACAGTGCTGTGAAAACAGACACTAACCCACTCTTATCCCATGGTGTGCAAATAGCATCCACCTTCAAATTATGTGCAATGTTGTCAGATTGTAGTTGACGCTGTGAGCACTCCGCTTTGACACGTTAGCCTTTAGTAATAACTTATGTGTGTTCACTCCATCTCCAAAATGTGCCTGTGAGGAGTCTGAACACATTTTAAGTGCAGCTCAGATAAAAAGGTGGACAGAATTTAAAAGATGAACATTTCCCAGATTGCACTTCAAAATCACAGTTACAGTTAAATGATGGACCTTAGCTGAGCAGTCAAAAGGCTCACATAGATTTTACTGTCTCTCTACTCTTACACAATACAAAAATCAAAAACAGCCTTTTAATTGTGGAACAAAGTTCTTTTTAGGTTATTAATTTAGTCATCTCAGTTTTGAGACATCTCTAAAGGTTTTTAATCAGGTTAAACCTGTCACTCCTTGTGTTGTCAAATCCCTTCTTTTTTTTTTTTACCCAGGAATAAAATGTCAGTAGAGAGAAGTCTTGTTTGAGAATGAACTCTTCACACCCTATGTGAATAATCTTTCCTGCTTCGATCAAGAACACATCCTCTGCGGTTTCTCGGACTCCAGACTGTCAGCTGTGCAGGCCAGGATAATGACTTCTGTGAAATGAATACATGACAGCAGGCTCTTCTGTCCTTTTCCACCTCGGCAGGTTGTGAGCTCTGTCGCAGCCCTTGTCCTGGATTATAGCTCGCTGTTACTTCGTGGGTAACAATCTAAATGCATTATGGGAGGTGTGGTTTATGTTCAATGCACGTTTTAAAGCAGAATATACTTATTTTAATATATATTTGCACCTATTAAGCTCTTGCGGGCCACATAAAATGAAGCGGCGGGCCACATTTGGCCTGCGGGCCTTGAGTTTGACACATGTGGCTTACAGGGTATAAAAAATAAATAAGTGATACATTTGTAGTTTTAGTTGAGCATAACTAGACTGAAACCAAGATTTGTTTTTGTCATTGAGGAACAACATTAAGGAACCTCTTCCCACTGTATCTACTTCACCTCACACAAACAAAAGATTGAGCTTGTTGCTGTGTATATAAGAGGACTTTGCTATGATAATAAGCTGTGGGATTTATTAAGTCAGACTCTGGTGTTGCTGGGATTAGAAGGCATGTTTGAATTTCCTGCCCACCTGTCTTGTTCTGCACCCCTACTGAACAAAAGCCCCCTGCGTTGCACACCTGCGGTATGCTCACAAAGGCTCTCTGACTTAAATATTCAGCATGGGAGTAGGAGTGCAACAAAGGAAGATCTTCGCTTCGGCCTGTATTGTTTCCTCTGTGCAGCATTACTGCTTGCTCAGATCTCAACATGCAAATGGAAGAGGAAAGTAAGACACTTGGGCTTTTAACATGCCGCCCTGATAAATGATCCCTAAAAAGAACACTACAGGTCGAAACTGCTCGAAAACTGCATATGTATGGTCACATCAACATTACTGTAGTTTAAAAATTAAAAATGTCTCAGGTGGGTGAAGAAAACCAAAGTCGAGATTAAACTTGTTTTCAACGTGGTGTGTGGGTGGCTGCTGCTTCCCTAAATGATGCTCCACGGTAACAGGAATTATGTGCAGTCCCTTGTCATTACACAGGCTATTTTGTTCAATGATTCAAGACACTCGTGAGTTGTGTATATCAAATGTCAGCCTGTATGGCAGTCTGTTCTCGTTCCCTCTTGTCTACATCACCTTCCAAAGCCCCCTCAAATTCTTCATTCAGTAGTAATTCTCTTCTCTCTATTTCTTCTCCTTCCCTACATACTCATCTTTTCACTTGTCACTTTCCTTCCATGTCAATTACCATCTCTCTCCACTCTAACCCCCCCTTCCTCCGGAGCCGCTCGCCCTCTCTTACACTTTTGCCATTTGTATCCCACTATTCTCTCATCCCTTCTTTTTATGCTCCATTCTTTTCTATTTTTTTTAAACCACAATCTTCTTCTCAGCTTGCAAAGCTTCCTTACTTTCCCTTCCTTATCCATTTCCCTTATTGACTCTGTTCACTTCATTTCTATCATTCCCTTCCTCTGTTTCTGTATTCTCTCTTGTCACCTCAAATTTTTACCATAGTTATCTCATCTTCTTGCAGTACTAGATGTTTGTGCGTTTTACCTTCTTGGTCTCTTCTCCTTCTCACCGTCCTTCACCTCATCCCACACACTCCTCTTTTGCTCCAACATGCAGCATCTTCTCTCTTTATATATTCATTGCAATAAGTGAGTGAATGACCTGAATCTGTCTCTTTGCATTACAGCCCCTCCCTTCTGTGGCTCAGGAACACCTTCCAAAACCAATAGTGTGGCTGCCACCTTGCCTCGGGTGCCCTCATTTGTGTGTATGAGTGTATGCGTGCAGGATTGAGCCTGGAATGATAAAGCAAGCAGCCTGTGTATGCTAGTACTACAAGTGCATTGCACCTGGCTGTTTGCATGTAGGAGCCTGGTTTTTTTGAGGCAAAGGGTGCATGTGCGTGGGCACTTGGTATTTTTATCAGTATGCCAAGAAGGGAGCCCTGAAATTGATTTCAGTTAGAATGTATCTGCCTTTTCAGAAAGAAAGAAACTCAAGATTATCTCACATTGCCAGTGTCTTGAATGTATGTGCATATATTGTTGAATCTGTCTTTGTGTGTGTGATATGTTCTGTGTGTACAGTGCCTGGTACAGTATCTTGTCTGTAATTGCCTGTGCCTTACCATCCATCATAGGACTGTTTTGTTCAATCTTTCTTTATTGTCTGCAGTCACAAACTTGTCCTCTATTTAGAAAAGATGCAAAAAAACCCTTTTTTATAAAATAACTCTGGCAAGTGTTTATTCTTTTTTTCACACTGAACAAGAGCATATATAACAAACTTTCTAGAAAGAGATTGCGTGGGGGGCTGGATGGGGAAGGTGAAACATCATATCTGCCAAGCAGGAAAACAATCAAGGCAGATAGCACTGAGCTGTCAAAGAGTGTGACACCACTAAAACACCGAGGTCCCACCCTGGGAAAATGAAAAACACTGCACTGACACAAAACACAGCATTCTCTACAAACTTAGTTTTACACTCATCTTTTTTTTCATGCTACTTCAACTAAACTTTTATTTTTGCAACATGTTTCCAAGATGCAATGATACTAACTTTTCTGGTACATTTACTTGGCACTTGCAGGCTAATAGATGCACTTGAAGTTTGGTCATGACATTGTTGTCAGAATACTAATTCAAAAAAAAAAAGTGAGAACACTACTGACACTAAGGGAACATGGATTAAACTTGGGGAATGATGATGCATTTCTACAGTGTATTTTAACAGTTTCATATACTAAGAGCAAGTTAAGATTCCTAGAAATCAGACACTAAAATATATGTACTGTAAGTGTTTTTTTGCACAAAAATATCATACTGTTCTCTCACCTTACAAGATTTCATCTCATGACCTTGGTCTGTGCAACAAGATTTAACTGAAAAATTCACAAGAATCAATTTCAGCCTGTGCTGGCCCAATTATCATATAAATCAATACATGTTCTGGTGCTTTGAAACCATGACTCTGCAACATATGGCCTTTCTTGCCTCAAAAGATTCAATAAGACAAAGA